AAGTATATAATTTAAAACTTGATAATGTTCTCATGAATTTACATGAGTTTCATACATAAAATCATCTTTCATTTTCTGTTATGACCAGCAAACCAAAAATCCGCCGTGCTATCAACCAACACACCTTTTGGAAAATTTAATTATAAACATACTATAATTTTGAGAAATACCTTTAACAAGTAGAGTTAAATAAATTATTCTACTGTCACTATCCTATCACTTAATATAATGGTATGTACAAAATGTATTTGCAGAAAATGTTTGATCAGTACAATTAAAGTGGTTTAGATTTTAGCTTGACTATACGAAGTACTAGTATATGGAGAGCTGTCCTACTCGTCCCGGCGTCGGCGTCCGCGTCCCGATTTAAGATTAAAGTTTCGGTGCAGTAAAATATTTTTCACTATAACTTTTTCATTATTTAAGGTAACAACTTCAAACTTCAAATATATGTTCCTTATCATCCACAACATCTTATCTGACAAGGTTCATAACTCTAGCACCAAGATTTTCAGGTTTATCTCCCCTTTAACTTAATACCTAATCAGACGACTATTGAAATAAGGAAGGAATTTAGAAACCGTTGCTGTTTAAATTAATATCACTCTAATTGTTGTTTATTTAATCTTAAGGAAATATCAAGTCACATGATATGAATTGCAATTTATAGAAGGTTATCATGCAAAAATATCTTACTAAAATTGTCACGTTAAAATCATTTTTTAACAACACCAAATTTGAAAGGTACATCTAAAGGCCTCTAAAAGGCTGAACTTTTTAACATGAAATGTCTAAAAGTGGAAATATGTCTTATTAAATCCTTTATATCATTGTACTGGTGAAAAAAATGAAATCAGCCCTTGTCTGTAAAACCATTGAAGCAAAACGTATTATGTGAAATCGGAGACATATTAGGATTACACTTTGATCTGATTATTCTAACTATACAGATTTTGCTATAAAAATTCTAATTATGCCTACCTTTACCTGTTGAATTTTATTCGTCTTAATTCAGTTTGAAAGAGAAATTCAATAATTTGCTATAGATTTTATTTGATGTCAAAATACAATTGCAACTAGAGATGATTTTTATCAAATTTATATATCGTGCAAGGACATATACTAGTCATTATCAGAAAATGAAACGTAGTCACTATGAATGTAGTAATTTTATATTTCAACAATTAATTAAACTAACTTAAGATTTCACAAGGATTGTAATTCATCTCAAACTTAGGCCTGGCAAATTGCCGATATTGAACAAGCTATTTTCATTTAGAAAATCTTATTTCCGGATATATAAATGTTCAAATTATGAGAAAAAAATTACAGGCTACGATTGTTGTTACAGTTAAACAAATTTATCATTTCCAAACTTATCTATTTGACACTAATAAAACATAAAGACGCTTTTTCTTAATCAAAATATTGCTTAAGTTTAAACTGGTTAATAAGAACGACTAGAGATTTTATCATTTGGAGAAACCAAACCTCAGAGGAAAAGTCCATTGATGGTATCTTACAGCATTGCTTTGTTTCATAGGATGTATTAACTTATTTTCATAAAGTTTTATTTTGTTTCATGCATTCAAAATTTTTCAAGACCTTTGTTGATTTAAACGTAATATTGACAAATATGGTTTTCAAAATTTAATGTTCATGAAGCGTACTTTTTTAAGACTGGCGTGAAAGAGATGGTTATATATAAGATCTAATATACGTTTGGATGTCTATAAATAAAGATATTGATCTATACCGTCAAATCTATCATGTTTAATAACTTTTCAACATGACTGGATACGCAATCATATGCTGCAGTGGTGTATACAACCCATGGTCAAATGCTTATGGGCATTTATTTCACTTGCCCCTACCCGCTTAAGCATGAATCCCATAAGTGATTTTATTTAGTTTCTTTTATGTGAGAAATCAATCTAGCAAGATTACCAAAACACAACAACAAAAACACACACAATGTAATATCCGTTTTAAATAAACCTTATGCAGTCGTTGTATATAGAGACCTATTATTCACAGATAATATCATAATGCGTTACTTATGCCAATGTCATAGTTATGACAATCAAACTGGTTTAAAATACACATTCAGTTACTGTATTTTATTCAAACAGATTCTAATGCCATGTGATATAGATATTGATATAGTGCTACTTAAAGGTATAAGTGACAAGAGTTGATAATGTCAGATAACATAACAACATTTGATTTCGGATTACCTCTTTCTTACCAAAGGCGGATCATAGATGTGTTTTCATGTTGCCCCGTATGAAATTGCATGAGCTGTTTTTTAAGTACACCAATGCATAGTGTAAGAACCAAAACGAGCATGTAAGCATTCCTAAAGAGAGAAAATGAGGTATATCCAACAGAAATAGAAAGTGGTCCACGACATCATGGCAAATACAGACTTTGTTGTTTATGATACATGTAATAGGAAGTCTGTCACGGACCTACTTTTCTATACATGATTAATATGTAATAAGCGATAAATACATAATTCTTAATATATTTCTTGTTTTCTTTCGTTTTAATGTCTTCCATTCTAAAAGAGCAATTTCTTGTTTAATATGCTGCATTACGCATAGTTAAAATTATATCTATGAAACACAAAGTTCATGATTAATTAAGGTTACATGTACCAATATTGAATCATGTGCCTATGGTCGCTGAGAGTCTGAATTAGTCACACAAATTAAATTTATTAAAACTGAACATAACAGCGGGTTTGTACTAAGATTTCGATGTGAGGAGTACAGCAAAAACAAGAGAGACAAAAGTCGTATCTTTATACCTTTATATTAATACATCAAAACCAATCAAACACGGTTACATTACCGTCGTAGAAAATAGAAATATTTTTCTTATTATGTACTGAGATTATTGCTTTTAAACATGAAAAGACAATATTTAAACCCTTGCTTGCGATTTGCAGCTATTTGTTTGTTCTTATTCTTCTCAAAGGATTTTTTCCAGAAATTTCCAAAAAGAATATGTCAACACAATAATTAGCAAGTTACCAGCTAGCATTATGTATTAAAATCTTTTTAAATTTAATGCATTTTGAAAAAATCTTACAGCTAAACGGAGTTTTGTAAGTTTACCAGCTATATATCTTTTCCTACATTACATATACATAATTTTTTGAATAAAAGTAAACTTTGATAGAAGAACATTATTAGTTACGACAACGAATATCAGTGTTTCATGCAGAATATAGTAACATATTAAATCCACACTCAAAAATTTTGAATGTCCACACATTTTTGTCCAGCTTCAGCACAATACTATTATTATTTTTGGAGAATGTATTTTTGTACAGTTTATTCTCCTTCATTAAGAAAATTAGGAAAATAATTATTTTTATAACATCCCATTATAAATTTAGCATTCAAATGTTATTGATTTTCAACTTGGCAGACTTCAACTTGTTCTTCCTCATCAGATCTATATCCAGGGCATTTTTTGTGTCCAACTTTGCATTCCCTTCTCCTTGAATTACCACCAAATGTATCAAGGACTGGTTGACACGTTGTCCATTCCGTCCACTGTGAGCAACTTGGCGTCTTACATTCTAAATTGATTATAGCATATCCGATCGTTTCCAGAAGGTCGCTTTTTAGTTTCGTAGCCAGTTTCAAAACCGATTGTCCATTAATGTCCGTTTTATTTGTGTATGTTCCAACGGGAGAAGTATATGCTTCCTGAACAAGAGCAATAAACAGTATTGCGATAATAATTGACTTAAAAAGAGCCATGAGTGAATATTGTTCCACCAGTCGATTATACTGTCGAGCTTAAGATATTATGTTATATAATGAAGCACACACTATAATGACTGCTTTCTATATGACATTGTAAAAGCGGATGTATAAGTGTATACTCAGACAGAAAGTGATGTTTTTCAATGAGGCATTTCCTTTTTCTTTCTATGTTTATCTTTTAGAAGTTGACACTTTACCACTTAATCGGACAAGTTTCATTGCTGATGTTGTTTAATCACTCATCATGTTATATTTAAAAAACAGAAAACATCTATAACGGGCTAGTTTTGTTTATTGTTTCTTAAAATGTATTTGTTTTAAACAATTAAATATAATTTTATCTAGTGAGGTATTACAATAATTGTAATAATACATACAAACGATTTAATAACAAATATTTCATGGAAACAGCAAATGATTTATTTGAAAGCTTGAGATGTCCGTAAAAAGCTGGCAGATATTTTTTGAAAGCTTAAAAAAAGAAAGCTTGTTACACTGATAATTGTCTATAAAGGGTTTGTTTTCATGAAGTTCTAAACAAAATAACCATGCATTAAGTGTCATGATGTATAAACTATACAATATTGACGTTTTGAATCCGTAGAAGGTAGTACATGTAGTACCAAACAGGTTTCCCTATTTTACGTTTAAAAAATAATTTTTACAGTTACGTAATCGTATGCGGATGAAACAAAACATGTTTTGACTTTAAACTCAGATGCTTGATGTATAGACATGGAAAAGTAATATTTCATCCGAAAACATTAAAGTTTAAAAATCGTGACAATTTACCATTTTACTATTATCAGAATCTCTTGGACAATATGAAAATCTTTTGCTGTGAAAGTAGTAGGGAAACCATATTATAGTATCAACAGATCCGTGACACTGTTTGTTTTGCATCTGAATTAATTTTCCTTGTCACTGTGCTGTCCTATTTTGATTAAAATTAATGTTGAAACTTACATAACATTCTCAGTTTAGGTAAGAAGCATCTATTGGTTAACTTATGTATCCCTATGACTATGTTGTTTAACATTACAACACAAAACCTACATTATACATCTCTTAGTAACTCGTATTTATTTCTACATCGCAATACAGAATGAAAGATTATCCTTTGTTAAAAATAAACCTAGCTGTACAAATAAATCACTTATCTTTGGACATGTTGCGACGGGTTACACAAGTTTGACCTCCAATCCACATTATAAATATGATTTACTGTGTTCCCTATCAGAGCACATAGAGACATACATGAGTTATCTGATTGTATACAGATTAGAGGTTTATCAAACCAATAGGCTGTTTCTTCCAGTAATACAGTTCATGATCAATATGACAACTTGATTGACAATTGTAATTATATTCCGATAGAACATGAGACAGTTGCACATAAATGTTTGGAAAGCACTAAATAAATATAATACTGAGAATGACGGTTTCATGTTATTTACGAGACTTTTGTAACTAATGTTATTCCAGGAAAGCATTTATCTCAAAATAAAAAAAATTGACTGTAAAGATAAACATAATATTTCTTCAACATTTACTAGAATATGTTATATAATAGCTGTGTATTAACAATACACCAGCTTTTTAAAAGTACACAACAGTAACTATACTACTCAACATTTGCTATACACCATTAGTTATTTTTTATTTAAATTTTATATTACCACAACAGATTTCTTTCCAATTTTTGAAAACTGTGATTCAGCAAAGTTTGGAGATAGTCAACTGCCATGAATCCGGGTTGACTAATCCATTACACACTCGAACATATAGTGCTTAGCAAGAATTGAGTAGTATATATTGGTAACATGATTTTATATAACGTTTAATATATACGTTCATTTGATTTAACATTGACTTTATGCTATATTCAATTTTTAAAATATACTCTTTTGTAAGCACAAAATGATTGATTGTGTTTCTGCTTACTCTACTTCTCATGTCCCTTTATCTTATAACAGTTTGAAAAAACAAAATTTCCCTCACTTATGTTTATTTAAGAGGCACTTAGAAGTTATAAAAAATCCACAACCTTTTCTATTTAGTCAATCAAGTGTCCAATTAATATCACTTGTTAAACACTTATCCCACAAAATGTATATAAACTATAAGACATAAACCATATGATTAGAAATTGCATATAAACGATATAAATTTTTGCTGAATTTCATTCTTTGTCGATTTGTCACTGCAATTTTAAATGTAACAAATAAATTCATTTACTTATTTTCAAAACACTTGTAAAAGTCAAATGTTATCTATTTTTTATTTGTTCTTTTGTATCAACATTCTTATCCTCATCAAATTCGACACTGTTGTCAACGTCATTTTGTTGCATAGCCTTCTTTATATGATAGACAATCAAAGACAGAAAACGCGTCCACACATCTTGTAGTTCCTCACACCATGGATCCTGACTGTACGGCTTCATTGCAGTTAGAAAATGAGGTAATATTATCTGAAAATATTGACAATGAGTATCAAAACACATTCAATATGTAATAATTTACGATAAATTAGTATCTTCGTTTTTTAGGGCCAGCAACTAATATACACCTGCGTACTAATATTCAATTAATTTGGTATTTAACATACATCAATAAGATTATTTAAGATGTAAATATTACACTCAATAATATAATCCTATATGACTGTAGCTTGACATAACATGTTTAATTTATGATGTTCAAAAATACCTTAAAAATAACGTCGTACCTGAATATCATTAGAGCGTACATTGTACATATTATGATGTTCACCAACTTCTTGTAGAATATATTCCATACTTGATGGGTCGTTGATATGTATGATGCATTTATCTATAGTTGACATGACCCTCACTGCATGCTGTTGTAGCAACCCCGATTCCTGTAATTTGTTAACATCTTTGCCTTCGAATGTTGAAAACGTTCTGATCAATTCCGGGTTGCTTTTGAACATACTATATTAATAGAGAAGGCTTTATTAGTAATCATATAGTTATATGTCAGATTGTATTGTAACGAATAGAAAATGCTAAACTGTCGATATATTAATGAATAACACTTCCTTTTTGTGCAAGGCAATGGTTAAAATGTTAACGTTTTATTAGAATAAAGAAATAAGTCAAAGCACTTTGTTTTAATTATTTCGTTTTTTTTACATATAAATGTGATATTTATTTTTGATACGTGCAATTTATTCAGAAAGTCAGAAGAAGATGAAAAATGAAAAATAATACATAAAATATTTGATCTTAAGTGTATCTATAAATTCAAGGATACTAATAAAATGAAATGTTTGAACAGATATTTGAGATTAACATATTGTATGACTTGCTCAAAGTCCTTATTTGTTTTCGCTTATATCTATATAGTATCTCGATCAATGTATTATATATCAAACAAAAATAATGTTTAGAAAGGATTGCCCTTTTACAATCAATTTCTTCGTGCAGACGTTATGACTGTAGTCAAACAAAAACATTATGAAGTAGTAAAAATTTCTTCAATTATTTAAATTAGATACACGTATTCAAGGTTTTATTTTTTAAAGTTACAATACATTAAAAGATTTAAAACACATGTAGATATCTTAAGTGACAAAAAGTATATAATATAATTACACATGTTATGTCACAATCTGTTCGGTGGAAATGAGCAACAAGTTCACACAATCACAAGACGAACGCCAAATGTAAATTGCTAACAATTAACTGCAGTAAAATCGAAATAGTATAACAGCGAAAGCACGTAATTAGCCCATTGAAAACTGATGACAATCGTTTTAATCAATAAATTTCGAGCCCCAAAAGATTACAAAATAATATGATTTAATAATTGTAATCTTCGTCTGACAGGGTCAAGAAGAGGCATGTATTTCCCAGTAAAAATCTTTTGTTTACTATAAGCTTGATGGATTATCCAGACACTTAAATATATTTGATCCATATAACTATTTACATATAACATGCGAGGTAAAGTCGTAAAATTAAAATCAACACCAGTATCTGTCTTTTTAACCAGTATGAGGTTGTGGATATAACAAATCCTTTATTCATGGGAAAGGTTTAACATTTTATGTATCAAATTGGATCAATCTGAATGATTGCACAAACTGAATGTAAGACACATTGTATAAGCTGATTTGAATAATATATGCAACAATGTGTTGCCTTAAGTTTAATGTTATTAATATAAAAGTAGAAAATGCCAAAGAAAACATTTGTATTATATGTCTCGGAAAAAAATGATGTTCTGTATTTGTTTAAGTATATTCACTTTACTATACTTTTGTTTTTGCAGGTAAATTGAAGTATGTTAATTTAATGATTAGTGAAATTTACAGCTCATGGTTTAAAAGTACAGCCATTCATCGGCTTATTAATATTATATAATACCGTGTTAAATATGAATAATTGTAGTTTGTTTTAAAGTATTAAAGCATCTGCCTCATAGATATAATAATTATCGAGTAAACAGCCATGTGAAATATATTTTATTTTGAAAGGAAGATACTTTCAATTATTTTGCGATGACTTATGTATAAATACTTATATCTAGCTTAGATTCATGATATTGAGAATAATGTCTACGGAGATGTTGCCATGGTTCTCGTGAAAACTTTCCAGAGTTCTTGCTGATTATGATAAATATGATATTTCTGGGTTGTTTCTACGGCAACAGCCTTAGTTTGTTTTCAAAGAGAAAAATAGAGTAAAATAAATGTTTACTGATATGTTTAAGTTTTAAGTTCCATCATGATTTCAAAAGGTATTATTGCTTATGTGTTGATGTCTAATTACGGTTTTTACTACATTTTTGTTTGAATTCAAAATGTAAAACTGTTCTGAATGTTACTAAACATTTAAAAACATTGGAGCTGGCCTATTTTGCTATAATATCTATACAATGGTTAACAAAAGAGTTTGCTACTACAACCACATGCTCAAAATGTAGTTGACAACCTTCGAAAGATACAATCGAACAATTAATAAAACAATTAAATGGCTAAAGATATTCAAACATGGTAAAGATATTTAAACATGGTTACAAGTATTTATCATTACAAATAACATTTTAATGCACATAATTCGTTTGGACGAAAGAAAATTAAGTGGTTTGCCGTCTTGTATGATATAACAAGCGAAACTTCCGTTTTATAATTATTTTAGGGAGATGACAAAATTGATAATAATAATATTATTATTAGAAAAGAAAACCGCATCACGTGTTTTATTTGAAAGGAACATTATAAATTTTGTTATGCCAATCTTATGTTACGGGACTTATCAAAAACGAGAAAACGGCCTTCAAAACCGTTTCCACTAGATAGTATAATTCATTATTTCACATGGCAAAAATACACATTTTGTTGACAATACCGACCCATTTTATGTCAACCTTATGGTTGATATTATTATATAATTATATAGTACACATCCAGCCCAAAAATATTTTGAAGTTGTGTAAATGTAACATTGGACATAACTTTTCACGTCACTAAGATAAAACTAAATGAAATACCCAAAACACACCCTGATAAAAGCTTTATATATTTCTAAAATATTATAATATTGTGTTACCAGAAGAAGACATGATGTTAAAACAAACCTAACGTATGTTAAAACTCCAATGTTTGCAATGTGTAATTTCAATCCTTGCCAGTTATTTTGAATCACAGCTTTATCCATGTCTGTTAATTGTGGAATATCTGTGGTGTGTATTGTACCAACTTTGCCTTTTATCATCGCATTAACGCCACTTTTGAAAGAAGTACATCCCATTTCGATTACATATGTTCATTAAAATATGATCATTTGTTTCTGCAAATAATTAACTATAATTCTTATTGATATATACTTAGTCTAGTAACTCCCTAGATTCATTGATTTTTTTTAAAATCCAAATCTTGTCTTCATCACGTAACATTATCACAACAGGAAAACCTTTTACTATATTACATTGCAAATCCCGCAACCGAATATTGCCTTTTTAGTTTTTAAGCTTATAGATTCTATCCTGATCGAGAAACTCTCTGAGGAAGAGAAGAAAAGACTCTGTATAGAAAAAGATTTATATATGGGCTGATTCTATTTCCACGATCATATTTCATCATACTGAAATAAGTAGTGTTAGAATATTGAGAACACTTTTAAATTTGCGGGGCGTAAAGAGTTAATCTAGAGATTTATTCAGATACGAAATCAACCGTTTTCTAATAACGGACGATGCAAACTATGTTCAAATTGGATATAAGAAATCAAAGTGAGAATCAAAATACAATTCATGCTCAAATTGTTTCTTTATGTCGAACGCCCACTCACCTTAGTGTATTTTCTTTTCTTATTATGATATTGAAAGAATCAAATAAAGAGGAATAAAATAAAGTAAAAGTGATAGATTTAGCATATGTTTATACCAAATAAAGCAGTAGAAATGGTCGTAAAATTTTAAGAAGCGATTCAATGAGTTCATATATGATATTTTTAATTGGCATGTTTTCATAAGATGTTTCTTTGTTTTTTTTTATTGTTCTCGTGGTATTCAGGACTTACCTGTTTTTGTTTTTTTGTTTTAATTTAAATGTTTACCGTCTTGTTGGCATTTCCAACCGTTAACTTGGTTAGCAGATATTGTAAAGAAGTACCGTAATAAACAAATATGAAGAAATAGCTTGTCAATGTGAATTGTTGACATAATATTTGAATCTTCTAACTTAAGATTATTTTTAAAATGCATATTCTGCTCAGACTGTTGTCAACATTGCCGGAACATAAAGAAATCATAGTTCTTGCCCCGATCATTTCCGATATATCAGAATGCGATAAAGATAAGTTAATTATCCAAACAAATCATACGTTGTATCTGCTGGCAAATAACTTGAACAAATTTAAATACAACTTTGGAAAAAGCAGCATTCCTGCATCATTGATCATATGTTTCAACTTCATAACACTTAAACATATTAAAGTTTTACTCCTTACATGATTCCATTTTTTTTATTAAAACATAAATGTTACAAGACAACAAAATTTCCACGTCATTTTAGAACTACAAAGACAATAATGTCATTCGCATGTCTCTCAGATGTTTTCTTTAATGCAGTTTATTTTTACTTTTGCTTATAAAAGTTGCTAATAATAGCAGTTATAAAAGCACTGACCCGGTATGGGAATTTACATCACAACATTTTCTCCATAAACATAATCCTCCATAACATACTGGTTACAATTATAATTATTTTCAATAATAAATTGTCAGATATTCGGATATTATATTGCTTATCGAAAATTGCATCGACTTTTAATATAATTTATAACAATTCAAGTATCTATACAAATTTTCTGTTTTAATCAAAGTTTTTTAATTGAACATTTGTGAAGAATTGATTGGCAATTTGGTACAAATACAGGAATAGACATTTTGTAAATAGCATAATCATTATAGCATCTTATGTAACCATCTTGCTTGAAGAGCCAAGCTAAATATCAATCCCATCTTATTACTAGGAGAGAAAATGTGTATTGTTAAGTTGGTCAATTTAGTTGCAATTCATACAACACATAGACCTCTTGCTTTGTCTGCATTACTGTCAAATATTTTATTGATAATAAAATGTTGTCCAGGGAAACAAAAATTAAGATGCCTTGAAGCTTGATTTATGGTGTCCTTTTATATACGCACCTTCTTTAACGTCTTGTGCTATCAAAATATTATTGCATCTTAATAGAGTTAATCAAATCATTAAGAAAACAGCTTAGTTAAAACATCGTCTAAGGTCATGCTTTCATTCTAGTTCTTCAAGGAGATTCAGATACCGTTATCAAATTTCTTCAAATGAAATATTGTCTGCTCAGTTAAGAGCAGTATTACTGCGCTTGTTAACATATATATGAATTATATTTATATATTACTTTTCATTTTATGTAATATAGTGGCATAATATAAGTAATCTAATGCATTATTGCGTATTTTGCGTACATACAAATTTCAACATAAAGAACATATTTGATTCACGAAATATTAACAAGAGATATAATTAAGAATTAAAAACAAAACTCTTATAAGTCATAACCCAAATGTTAGCGATGTAAAACTTCAAACGATGTTAAAAGTTAGTATTTTGTAAAGCATCCTTTTTCCAAATGTATCAAATATTGATTTTTTTATATATTTTACAAGCTCTCTCATTAGTCAAAATTACCTTATTGCATTTTTGACACTGGTACAACACCTTTAACTTATCTAAACAACTTTATCCACCAAATAACTTTAGGTTACATTGATTTTCATACGTCTTATAAGAATTAAATAGTTGTCCATCATCGGCTAACCTTTGTTTGTTATTTTTCAGTCTAAGTAAATATCATTTCTGAGAATATTCGCTTTTTTCTTTTGAATTGTGTGTTTTCGTTTTTAATTGAAAAATCTCTCTCTTGAAGAAACTGTTATTTACTTCAGAGGCTTCTAGTTATTTCCTCTATACGTACGTTATTTATAATCATAATGAAAATTCTGACATAAAGACACGTTAAGATATATTTTTAAACCCTTATTAACATTCGTATTTCAGTGTATGGCAAAAATATAAGACTATCGAACGAGTAAGAAAATTGCGATGTTTATTATTTCCGTCTGTAAGCAGTGGAATATAAAATAGCTTAACACTGGCCCCACGCTAAGATATCTGAAATGGACTTCACTATCTTTCAGAACAAAAACATTCATCCTTTTAAAGAAAATTCCGAAATAAGTAATTGACTGAATAGCAAACAGTACAGACCATGATCAGACGGCTGTTAGTACTTGTCGCATGGGTAAAATTAATTGGCGTCAGTAGGAATAAAGTTGAAATAAATGACGTGTCCAAATCCAAAACAATAAGTCAATTACTAGTAGTTAATTCTTAAGAGTAGAACGACACATATAACTTTATAATATAAAAATCTCATGGGACCAATAATTAGCGAAACAAATGATTATTAATTAAATGGTAAGATTTTCTTGATATTATCTGAAAGAACAAAAAATGCTATTAAAATCATTATCATATATTCATTTAGTTTCAAGTCTGGTGTATTGATAATCCATGGTTATGTTTACTTTAAATTTACTTCAGTCTATCAAACACATAATATATTTTTTTTTATTTACTAAATATTGCAGCCAAAAAAAATGACTCAAGAATGTTTGTAAAACCCATCATCCCTTTCCTCAAACTGCTTTAAGAGACGGTTTATCTAATCTAACCCTGACTGAGTTATCAAAACGTTAAAAGAATGATTTATGTTAAGTTTACCGAGGTCAAATACTGCAGCACTGATCAAGTTACTGAGAGGTTCTGGTAATTTGATTAAACATTTGTAATATCGGTATATTCATTCGTCTTAAATAAGTTGTAAATTGCTATTTTGTATAGGGTATTAGAATTCAATTGGCTGGAATTTATTTTATTTTATATATATATATATATATTGTCTGGTACTATATTTCAACATTATACGATTGTAGCCTTTTGAAGATCTTGATTTGTCTCCTGCATAGAAACAATACTGATTTCAGTATCTGGCAATAAACAACTTCCTAGTAGAAATAAACGGACTTTTAAAACCAAAGCTTTTATTTAAACTGCGATATTTGTTGTATTCAATTGTATTCCTTTGCAGTCTGGCGTAGATTAGTTTTTATGCAGATTACAACACCTCTACCATTTGTCATTGCACTAACGCAAATTTCGAAATATTTGAGAATTATATTGTTTTAGACTTTTTATCAAAATTTATTTTATAAAATAAAATATATTAATGAATAAAGATTTTAGTGTCTAACATTCGCGTTGCAATTTAAATAAAAATAAAAAATAAACTGAAAATATTGTTTCGAATATAAATTAAACTTATAGTATGTCAATATATTGACAGTAGAATGTTTCCCTTTTATATGAAATTATAGTGAAACAAAACCATAATTTGTAGAACAAAGGAATGTGTTTTTCTTCGTCGACTATACTAATCATTTAATATATAAATGTTGCTTTAATTATTAGGGGACATTCGATCATATCAGTGTATTTGATATATACTGCAAAACCTCCTTTCAGAAGAGTATTCATTTCCAGTACATCGTTTGCATATGGTGTGGGATAGCCATATTTTCCATTTCGTCCCTTTTTATCTAGTAAGATCATGTTTTTTTTCTTTTTAAATTGTTGAATTACATTTGGAAAATCTACTTATACTTTTTAGAGATAAACGAGTGAAAATAGGGTAATTTTATAACTGTTAATGTTTACATTTCAAAATCTGGATTGTTAACTTCCTTTACTATTTTAACAAATTCTGAATTGTATATTGAAGATATATATAAGGATGCCCAATTGACAGATGACAAATTTGACCATTTTTCTGAACCCACCCTCTTTCTGTTTAATAATGTCTAGCATATACGCTCACAATGAACTTATTCTTTTCAAATATAATTTTCTTTGGTTTTGTTTCTTTTCATATCAAAACTATTGCATCTAAAATGAGATAAAGATGAAATAAGTAAAACTGTTTTTTGACTGACGAAAACATATTCTAATATTTTAATTACTAACGTAAATACCTTTTCTTTTAAATGCCAATATATATAAACACATTTCGATATAATAATATGTATGATAAAATATAAGGATTTTATGATAACGTTACTCTATAATAACTATAACAAAGTATTCTTAACGTTATTTTGTATGAATTTCTTGCTTTTAGAGACTGATTAAATATATGATCTATTTATATTACCACGATAATATACCGCATTAACTTTAATCCATTCATTTTCAGTAAATCCAGAGGCTGACAAGGACTATTGATTGTCTTGAGATGTTGTGAATGTTTGGACTGTTCTGTTGACAATATCGTGTCA